CCCACACCCCCCACTCCTCCCCTCTCCCATACACCCCCACACGACCAATCGATGATGTCAAAACGAATCGATTCATCGCGGAGGTCTTTGTGTGTTTCGAAATGCTTTTTGGACACCGAGTTCCAAAATGTCTTGGCCTTTTTTTTTTTTTTTTTTGAGCGCGTCACATTTTTGCAATACGACCTGTGAAAGTTTGCGCAATCATTTGAGAAGAAGAACAAAAATCCAACTCGACCTTCATTCATAAATCTTGCCAAGTACCCCGACAGACAGATTCACCTCGTTGAGTCCTTTTCCGTTGTAGCGCCATTTTCCTTCGGTCCTGGAAAATAGTCGGTCAGTTCTCCCAACATGTTTTCACCACAAAGGGCCGCCGGGCTCCGAGGTCAAGGCGACACCACAAGCATGATTTCAACCGGTCTCCTTTTTGTTGGCCGCCGTGCATGACGTTGTGCCAAACGGTGGCTCGAGGCGCGTTTGGGAAAGGCGCGTGCGTCCTTCATATGGACACGCGCCGCTTTGTGCTCTTCTGGTCGTGTGACCTGTGCGCCTGCGCCTGCGCGTGTGTGTGTTTACGCGCAGGGCGTCCCGTCTTCCTCTCAAGAGGAGGCTGTCAAAGACAAGCCCCGCCCACTGTCCAGCATCTCCCGCCATCAAAGGAGCAAAACCCAGATGACGCGCACGGCCTCAGGTGTGCCATCGTGCTCAACTTTAGCCGCCGGACGAGTCAGGTGGCTCGATGGCGCTCGCATGTCGCCACCGAGCTCCTTTTTTTTTTCACCGCGAGTGATGTCGCGCGCGCAAAAGATTTTCTCCCGTCTCGACCTGAGCTTGCCCGTGATCGCTCTCCTTTCTTTTGTAGATTTTGGGGGAGGAGCTTCATCTGGCGGCACTGAGGAGGCCGAGCCGGATTTGGAGCGAGAGGTGACGCCCGCTGTGGAGTCTTGTATCGACGTGTCCTCTGACACCTCGGCTGATTGATTGATGGATCGATTGACTTTTGCGTCTGAAGTGTTGCTCGCCGCCACCGCCGACTCACACTCTGTACTCTGAGCCTTCACTAAACGCACCCACTTGAGCAGGCGCGAGGCCTCCGCGTTGTTTTGCATTTTAACGCCCTTTTATTGCGGCAGTCTGTTGCGCTTTTGGCTCTTATCTTTGGAATTTTAAGTTTTTTTTGCTAGGAAACGCCGCGCGACCTCTTTTGACTCGAGGTCGTCAGTCCCTAATTTGTACCGATGAAGTCTTTTCCTGTCAGACTTTGGCGTGAACAAAGAAAAAGAAAGAAACACTGTATTGAAGTTGCACATGGTTGTTCTTTTGATCCTCCTTGCACCGTTTCTCCCCCCCCCCCCCTTAAGTGTTAACCTGCCCGGTTGGCTGAACACTACTGTTGACATTTGTTCTTACCCCCCCCACACACACAACAACAACTTGGTCATGATGACAAACAATAAAAGAATCTACTGACGCGGCGGCGAGTTGTTTGATTGACAGGTTGTCGCGATCCGGCGAGCGTCCGCAAGAGGGCGCTCGGGCACGCGCTCGCTCTTCCGCTTTCCGGCCAAATCTTCCGCTCGTCGGCGTCGCGGGCGGACGACGCGGCGGTCGAAGAGCGCCGACGGCTCGGGTAAGTTTCAGCGTTTGCGTGCGTGAGCGCCGAGACGCGGCAAGCTCGCATCCAAACGACTGACTCGGCCCGTCTCCGTTGCGCGCCCCCTCGTCGGCCGGCCAATTCCAATGCGACGCGACGCAAAAAATGTTGACCCGCCAAATGCGCGCGGCCGCCGACTATTTGGCCTTCACGTTCCTCCAAGACGTTGGGCAAAATGAAGCCGTTACTCGCGGTGGTTTGCGTCGTCGGCGCTTCCTGTTTTCGGGCTCTCAGCTGTTTCAAATGACCGCTGATCGTTTGGGGCTTCTCCGGACGCTTTGCTTTCCCTGGCTTGGAGACTCGGGAGGCGCTTCCAAAACGGATTCGATTGGGTTAGTTACCCGTTTCCCAAATGTATTCCAAGTACCAGAATAGTAAAGTCGTGCGACTTGAAGGCGTCATTACTTTTGGATTACCCGCTACAAACCAAAAACACCATCTCACCATCCGTCCTTTGGAGTCACTCCCCAAACAGCAAGCCAAAGCCGTCACGTCCCAATGCAACCGCTGAGCCGTCGGCCAACAAAGAAAGACCTTCCCGTGGGGACGACCGCTGAGCTCGACGCTTCATTTCGGCCAAGTTGCCAACGCCAGCGGACGGCTGATCGAGGACTCCGCCGCTCGCATTCCAAAAGTAAAAGTGCAAACTAATTCACATTTCTCAACAATGTAACTGATGATGTGGGGGGTGGGGGGGATTTTTGGTATCCTGAGTCCCTAAACCCCCGTGTCTTGTGTTCCTCCCAGGCCTGAAACGTTTTTACCCAGAACCCCAACGTGCTCTTGACTGGGACGGCGCGCTGGACCGGTTGCCAGCCCATCGAGACAAAGACGCTTTCACACGAGGGCAATTTGGGAGGCCGTTTGGAGAATGCGGCGAGGGAACATCGCAGCCTTGGCTCGAGCTGTACAGTCAGACTCGTTTTTTTTCCTGGTTGAAATCTTTTTTTTATTTGAACGACGTCGAGGGTCTGAAAGACGACGAGGATGGCTCGGACCGCCGTTGATTCGCCGGGTGCGAGATGGCCCTCAATTCTTCCACCGGATTTGCTGAAAGGGGACCAAAAAAAAAAGGAAGCGCTGACATCGACTCCCTCAACTCGTCCTCGTCTTCCTCACCGAATCGTTGAGCAGCTAAAAGGGGCCAAAAAAAAAAAGGAAGCGCTGACATCGACTCCCTCAACTCGTCCTCGTCTTCCTCACCGAATCGTTGAGCAGCTCGTCGATCTTCCGCTCCGCCGCCGAGCCCGCCTCCACCTTCCCTCGGTATCCGAGCAACAGCCGTCGGTCTTTGGAGTCTCGGTACGTCTGAAGGGGGGGGACAGAGACGGAGGGGGCTCGTGTGATGCGGCCGGCGGTCCGGCGGGCGCGCGGCCTTGGCCGGCCGCGCTCACTCACGTTGATGACGAGGTCGTGACACTTGTGCTGGTGGGCCAGCGCCATCCTGGCCTCGGCGTCGTCCACCAGGCCCACGTAGTCCTGCAGCACCTGCCCGACGACAACGGCCCGTCAATCGCGGCCCGCTGGGGGGGCGGGCGACCGTTGGCCCGCAACCACACCCAAACGTCCATCGTAAAAAAACGGAATGTAACTTTTTCCCTCGACAGACGGTGAAAGGGCGGGTGGATCCAAACGATCGAAAAGCGGGACTCGATCGTGGCCCAAGCCAGCCCGACGGAGCGCGTGGCGGGCGACGAGCAGCCGGCGGCAGGGGACTCACCCGCACGGGGGCGGCGTTTCTGTGCAGGATGTCGACCACCTTTTGGAAGGCCAGCGGCGATTTCTTCCTGGTGAAGCCCAGCCAGCTGCGACTGGTGAAGAGCGCGTCCACGTCGCTCCACGACTTCTGCTTGGCCCGAGCGCTCAGCGCCGTCACGAAGAACTGCTTCTCCGAGATCTGCTCTCGGCACGCGGCGCCGGTCAATCCGCGATGCCGCCGCCGCCGACGACCGCCGAGCGGAAGGCACTCACCTTGAAGCTCTGCCGGACGTTCAGCGGGCTGCTGAAGCTCCCCTGCGGACGCAAGGCCACCTCAGCGCTTTGGGACACGAGGCTGGACCCGCGTCCCAAGGGAAGGTGTTTGTGGACGTGACTTTTTGGCTTTGTTTTCTTTTGAAATTCCCAGCAAAAGTGCAGGGAGCGCCCGGCCGGGCTCAGCACAATCTCCTCCTAAAGAGTCGGCTGAACCCGTCGCGCGAGTACTTGGCTCGAGTCAATTGAGACGCTGACATTTTGTCGGGGCCCATCGTGCGTCGGGGCGAGCTGACCTCGGGTTGGTCGTAGTGGTAGAAGCAGCAGTAGTACAAGGTGGTGATGAGCGGCATGTGGGGGATGGAAGCCCTGCGGGGGAACCTCTGGAAGATCTCCACCTTGCCCCCTCGCTCGGCCTGCCGATCCGCCGCCTGACGAGAGCGAGCAAACGGCCGTCGTCACCGACGCCGTCGCGGCGTGAAACAAAGCGCGCTCGGAAACGTCGCTCAAACCTCGATGACCATCTGGCGCTCCAGCAGAGACAGCTGGTCCCGGACCTGGCTCTGGTCTTCGGCCGAGAACTGCAGGCTACCGATACAAAAACAAAGGCATCGGTGACTGGGGACGGCGACGCCGCCGCCGTCTTCCGGGGAAGACCACCGGAAGCGAGCGAACCCGCAGACGAGGCCGAGCCGCCGCGCTCGCAGGCTGGGCGTCATCCCCGGGAGAAAACACGGGCAAGAACTGGACGCGCCTCGGGAATCGAGGACCGGAGCGGAAGGGAAAAGTGGGCGGGCCGAACAAAAAGCTGCCGCCGCCTTTTCTCTGCCGGCAACAAAAAGGTTCACCGCCAGATTGAGCCCGCATCCCGGACCCCCCCCCCATCACCTGAGGCAGCCCTTGAGGAAGTCCCGCCTCTTCTCTTCATCCGCGATGCTCAGGTGCCGTTTGTACTGAAGCAGCTGTTGCCCGGGAGACACAAAGGTCGAACAAAGGTCGAGTGACCCAAACGTCTGTGCTGTCGGGAGCGTGTGATGGAGTTACCGCCGCGTCCTCCGTGCGTCCCAGAGCGCTAAGGAAAAGAGAAGCGCGCGCACGCAATGCTGACGAAACGGGGGAAAAAAAACGGGCGCGCCACCATCTGGATGAAGAGGAAGGAGTGCGGAGCAACCTGTAGATGTCGCCGAGCAGGGCCTCGTCTCCGCTCTCGCTCAAGTAGTTGAGAAAATGGCGCAGCGCCGTCTGACGGGACGCCAGCTCGCCGATCAAAACTTCTGCAAGTCATGGAAACGGCACAACGCGGCTGCTCGAAAAGGGATCGCGCACGCGCGGCCGCCTCTTTGTGTGTGCGCGTGCACGTGGAAGGAGGACTCACCTTTGCTCAAACTTTTTTTCAGAGAAATTAAAACCTGCAGAGAAGAGTTTGCAGTCGAGTTTGAAATGGCCGTCGGGGAGGGAAGGGCCGACGCTCGCCGCCTTACCGCCGTGATGACGTTTCCGTCGTGAGTGCCCACCGACCAATCCAGCAGCCGCATTTTGTCCTGCAGGCAGCGGAAGCGCTCCAGGGACACCGCCTGCCGCGTATACGCACACACACACACGCGCAATCGGCATCCACACACAAAACACGCGCGCTTAAACGCACACCCGCACCTTCCCCTGCTGCATCCTCTTAACAGTGTCTTGAGGCGACCAGTCGCCAATCAAATCCTGCCAACAAACGACAACGCGGTCACGAGCGCGACCGGTCGCGACGGTCCGGAACGCGAGCGGCGATCGGTCCGAGCCGTACCTGCTTTTCACTTTTCGGTTTGGGGATTTCCGGAGCCAGGATCCTCCCCAACGGGTCGCCCGAGGCTTCAAAACAAAACCAAAAGGGCTGGCGAGGTCTTTTCCTCAATTTGACGTCATCGCCGTCGTCACCTCTCGGAGCTCATCGGTACGCCACGAATTCTATAGCGGAGGATAAAGACGATGGTGGCGGGCGCCCTTCTAAAGTCGGTCTACACATTGTCGCTTCAAAGTTGAAAGCGCTGCTCGGTCGATGCTAATTTGCGTTAGCGCTAAGCTAGCCAGGGCTCAGTTTGCCGGATATCGACGCGGGGCGATGGTCTTGGTTCCCGCTTTCTTGGAAGATGACGGGATGACTGTCGGGAGCCTGCCGTTCCAAGAAGGTTCAACGAGGTGGATGAAACAATTGATCAATGACCCAAAATGATTGCGCTTGAATTTGATGGTCAGTGAGCGCTCGATGAATCAATCGATTGTTGCATCTCAAATCGACTCACCATCAGCGAACGCCGCGACGTTTGCGGCCTTTCTTCCTGCGGACGAGACGTACAGAGAGTCACGCCCGCTCATGTGACCTTCTGACCTCGTGACCTTGGCCCGACCGACCTTTAAAGAGCGAGCTGAGCGAGTAGCCGGAGTTGACCTTGGCCACGTTGGGAGCGTCGGCGGGGATCCGGGAGGGGAAGGCGGGCTCTCCGTCCGTGCCGCCGCCGGCCGCCGCCGCCGTCTCTCGGACGGACCACGAGATGCCTGAGGGGAGCCCGCGCGTTAGCGTCCCGCGGCACGCCGACGAGAATGGAAGGCGCGTGCGGCGCGTGGCTCTCACTTCCCACAGGCTCGCCGCTCCAGCTGACCTTCTCCACGAGGTCGCCGTCGTCTTGGTCCGACAGCTGCGGGAGGCTCTTGACCGCCTCTTTGGATTCTTTCAACTGCACGACGAGACAAAGGTGGACACGCTGCGGGAGTGGCGGCAAACTTTGACCTTTCCAACAGCAGGCGCCAAAGTCACACCGGGGTCTTTCATCTCAACCTCGTCGACATGCTGCGCCTTTGTTCTGACCAATGTGACGTTCCGGCGGCGCCTCGACATCCAGGTGGGAATTGTTCCGTCAACACACTCTTCGATCAACTTTGCCCATTGAAACGATTGCAATTACCGTTCACATTAAAAAAAAAAAAACCTTTGTAAACTCTTCCTAATAACTACGGGCTGCAACTGATGACACTACGGAGTGTCGACAAACGGATTTTTCAATTTAGTTGACTGGAAAAAAAATGGATTTGAATTTCCTTCCCATGACTCCAAACCAGGTCATTATTTGAAATTGTCAGGGCAGTAAATGCATCAATTGAAGGATGATTCACTTCCTAGTTTGCTCTGTGACATTTGTCAGAAAATCACCTCACATGTTGATCCTCGTTTGCGAAAGTCGAGGCAGATTTTTGCAAATGTTTTTTTCTCTTTAACTACCATCGTCGGTCTGCTTTCATGGAGCACGACAGAAACGGGAATAGCGTTACTGTTCATTCGGTCGCTGAATTTTCAAGGATTGGGTTCTACAAGGGTCTCCAAACGCTGAATCCGTCCACCCGATTGCTGTGCCGCGTCATCTGCGAGCAAATTAGTGACTGATTCGTCGTTGCACCTCTCGTGTATTGCTATGTTGGTGGGCTACATGTATTGCTGCACCATTTTTGTTCAGGCGTCTGTCAAGGGTTCCGGAGGACAAAAGCCTGCCGACCAACTGCTTGTATCTCACGGCGAGGGCGTCGCAATATTTTCCGAACACCCTCGTTGCCATTGTGGAAAGTGGGACGGAGTTGCGCCTTCCCAAAACCAAAACAAAAGGAGAGATGCGAGCTGTTGGGGGGTTCACTTTGACGACCTTTTTCGTCCAAAAGGCGATTTCGCTTCTCCTATCTAGTTGGGGGAGTCTGAACCCGCAATCACGTGACTGTCGATGTGGGTGGAGCGACACAGGCCGTTCAGCTGCCGGTTGGCTAAATGTCTTCTCGTCATTCATTGTCACGATCCAAGTGTGTGTGTTTTCTTGAGATTTTTTTGCAAAAGGCAAATCGACTGGGGCTGCGCTGCCTCACCTCGTCGTCGTCATCGTCGAAGGTGAAAGCTTTAAACTTGGAGGTGTTCCAGTATTCCTCCTCATCTCCTCGACTCTTCATCACTTCTGCGAAAAGAACAACAAAGTGACAAGCGAAGCGATGAGCAGGTGAGCCGCGTCGCTTCTGCTCTCAGGTCCGCACGAATCCCGACGTTGCCGTCGGGGAGCGCCGAGGCTTTGTTGTTGTTTTGGAGTCGAGAGCGAGCGAGCGAGCGAGCAGCCGCCGCGCTTCCGGTGTGAGGAGGTCGCGCATGCGCGCGCGCGCGGGCTCTGCCGGGAAATGTAGTCAAGCGGGATCACGTGACCCAGGCCCGCGCTCGCCGCATCGGGCTCCTTTCAAATGAACTCTTAGGAACGTTCGCGATTTCGTTTTCGGCACACGCGTTTCAAACCCGAAACCCGAGTCGCTCAACTTGACTTTCGAGGTGTGTCATGTTCACTTTAGTTCCTTTTGTCCACTAGGGGGCTCCGAATGTCCAATTTTCCTCCAGTCAGCCGCTGCCTGGGTGTCACGTGACAAACCTTTCCAAATCGGAGTCGGAAGGAAACGAGCATGGGGCCGGGGGGAGTCGGTTCGCCGATGACGTCATCCAGCATCTCCCCGCTTCCGCCTCGGGTTGAAAACAGGTGAGCGAGTCACTGCCTTTGCTCTCAGTCATTGGCTGACTAACTCGGCCTGGGCGGGGTTACGTTCATTTGCCCCAAAGGGTCCCTCGCTCCAGACGCACTTTACGATGTTTGCGAGCGAGCACCCGTTACACCGAGCCAAGAAACTGTCCGTTTGGTTTCCGAGGTTGCACGGCGGATGAGACAACGGCGCGAGGTGAGGAAAGGTCAGCCCGAGCCACCTCGGGGCCGCCGAGCGCGGCCTCCCACGCTCGCTCGAGGTCAGGTGTGAGCGCTGACCTTCGACCCTCCAGAGCTTGCTCTTGACCGAGCGCGGCCCACCGGCAGAGCGCGAGTTCATCACGGCGGGGCACCTTGACATACGAGCGGACCCGACTCACCCCCGCCCGAGCAATTGCTTCCGCAACGCTCTTCGTTTTGCTGTGACCCGCACGCGCCGACTTGACACGCAAGCGCCGTGAGGCGGCAGTCAGCTCAAGCAACCCCGTTCAGAACAATTTGCGGCTCGGTGGATAGAACGAGTCGACGTTTTTCCAAAAAGCGGCTTGCCCGGCTGTTTATCGCCCCTTTGGGCTCTCGTCTCGCAAAAGATACCTCAAAGAGAATGACGCCCGCGCTTATGTGTCCACTGCAAACATTTTGGGTTTCGGGTCCAAGAGAGACGAAAGGCGACAAGTCCGCCCTTTGACCGATGAGCCGGCCGGGAGAGCGAGCCCCTTTTTGTTTGGAGCCGGTGAGCGCGAGTCCTCGGAAGGGCCGCCGTGAAATGAACCGCGGGCGGCTAACGTGCGGCGAGCCCGCGAGGCGCGTTGCTTGCTGTCTTGGCGCCAAATGCCAGGAAGTCAAACGATCACGTTTTGCTCCATGGCGGGCCCCCGCGTTCTTTGGCGTCATCCTCCAAATGAACCAGCGTTGTCTTCCAACAGTACATGGGGGAAGGGGTGGTCCGCTACGCCATTGATGTCAACTTCACGTTGAGCCACGTGCCCCACAGGGGCTCCTACTACCACCACACCTCCATCACGGCTCAAGTCTTCAGCGCGTGTAAGGGCGCGTCGCTATCTGGCCACTGCTGAAAAGGCACCCCCCGTTTCACACCCGTTCTCTCCTCTAGTTCCTCCAAAGATCACGGCTCAGTGCTTGGACCGAGGCGTCCTCTTCAGCGTGGCCATGGGCCCCGGAGCCCGCTCGCTGGGGGAGGTGGGCGTTGAGCGCCAGCC